ATATCTCCCTGAGGCTCAAGGCCTTCTTCAACAAAATTACCAATGAAGAAAACTGAAAGAGGATCCACCACAACCTGGATAAATCCTTCAGACATGAATTCAATACTGTCAAGGCCCACTAAGTACAAAAATTCAGTAGATTGAAAGATCATAATGTCCAATACCAACTAGTAAAAGCAGTAACATCAGCTGAGTGCCTCTGGGGAGTCAGTGCTAAACAAGGGTTTTAACTTTGCCACAACCATCAGGCAGATACCATACTTGGACATCATTGCTTGAATTGAGGAAATAGTCTTGAACTTCCCTCAGGCTCAGGCAGATGAACTAAGATGGAAAGAGAGACAGACACTAGAGAAAGCTAAGCTACCCAAATCAAACATAATGAAACTGGAGAGGCAGGCAATCAGAACTCTACAGAGGAATGAACGTATCATCATATTATTAGCTGACAAAGGCAATGCAACTGCGGTGATGGACAAATTGAAATATACAGAAAAACTGAAAGACCTCATTGCAAATTGTAGCTACAGTAAAGAAAGACACTACAATGAAAACAGAATGCAAACTGTCACAGATCCTAAAAAAGAACAAAGACCACTTCACACCTAAGACATACAGGCAGTTGTCACAGCATTACACCAAGCTACCTCACATATACAGTCTCCCAAAGATTCACAAAGACAGTATTCCACTCAGCCTGATAGCTGGTATGGCTCTGTGTGTCACCCTTTCAGTTGCTTCCTAGTAGATATAATCAACCCATTAATCAGAAAGTCACCATCATATGTCTGGAACTCTGTTCACTTCATGGAAATAATCAAAGATGCTCTCATCCAATCCAGCTAGATGGTGAGCCTGGACATGGTGAGTTTGTTCACCAAGGTACCCATAGAGGAGGTACTCTCAGTAGTCAGGGACAGACTGTCTTTGGACTCCTCCCCAGGAGAATGGACCAGTATTCCAATAGATAACTTGATGGAGATGCTGACTTTCTGTATGCAAACAACATTCTTCGGAATGAGATCAGACATATATTGACAGGATGAGGGCTTAACAACGGGCTCGCCCATTACCACCAGCAATGGCAATCCTATATATGGAATACTTTGAGGAAATGGCATTAGAATCAACACCACTAAAGCCAACCCTATGGTTGAGATATGTAGATGATATCTTTATACTCTGGCCACACCAGGAAGACCTCCAGCTACTACTGGACCATGTGAACTCAATAAGATCATTGATACAAATCACATTGTAGTGAGAAAACAACAACAAAATTTGTCTTCCTGGATGTACTATCTTGAACTGAGCAGGGGTTCAAGACATTTGTACACTGCAAGCCTACATTCACTGGACAATACCTCAACTTCAACTCCCACCACCCATACAGTGTAAAGAAAGGGATCATCTGCTGCTTACAGCATCAAGCAAAAGTCATAAGTAGTGGCCCAGAAACATACGAACAAGAAATGGTTAGTATAAGCAGTACTCTACAGTATAACAACTACCCTGGGTACATAGCAGCAGCTCCTACAAACTGGGATAGAAGGGTACAAGAGGATAGCACTCAAAACAGCTTCAGTCTGCCTACCCTATGTGAAAGGATTATCAAATACAAAGGATCTGTGGTCCATAGAACATCAGGACAACCTTCAAAAGTGGTTCAACATTTCACAGACACCTCTTCCAAGTAAGACCCCCCCATAGAGGAGAACATGACTAAGGACTGTGTTTATGCCATCCCGTGCAGCTATGGTAAGAAATACAAAGGAAAAATAAGCCACCCTCTTAAGGTAAGACTACAAGAACATTGTAAACCGACAACGTGAGGGGAAACAGAAAAATCAGGTGAAGCTGACCACATATGGAGGGAAAAAGAAGATTACTGTGGGATGAGGTTGAAAATAATAGAGAGCATCACTGGAAAATATGAAAACTGAAGGAATCAGCACATATACTTAGCCATAAAAATCTCCTGAACTGACCAAGTATAAAAATGAATACAATATGGAAACTAGTAATAAGGAGTGCTAGAGAAAAGCAATGAATAGCATCAGAAATTGCAATATGAGCTCTGGTGAAAAATGCAATAATAATAACAGAAAAAATTGCAATATGAGCACTGGTAAAAAATGTTGCTGAGACATTAGGGTTATAAGTACCAAAAATTCATACACAGATATCCTCAAGAAAGTATGGCAAAGTGGATAAAGACATTGGTTAGATCCAGTGACTAGACCCAAAGAGTTGTAAGTTCAATTCCAGGCCACAGCAGTAGTGAACTAAAAACTTGGAGAGTTAAGTTCCTCTGTCTTTAGAGCTCAATTGAGGAATCAAAGCAAATGTGCATCACTAAAAGTGGGAGGATTTCTAAATTTTTCTCTATCAATATTATACCAATATATGAATGTATGCCAAACAGATTATGTTAAGACCTTACAGCCATTCCTTCTATTACAAATAGAAAACTGGAAAGATTTAATGAATATCATCTCTAAAACAAAAGTGAAAGTCTGAATTTGACTGGCTTAAAACTGAAAACATATCTTCGTGGTAAGACATAGTACACTGATAATTTTTTTAAGGAATTGTATGCTCGAAATATTTATTGATTTGTGTTAGCTTTTACTAAAGTGCAAAACAAAACAGACTTTTCCTGATGAAACAGTAAAAATAAAAACTACCTTATCTGCCTAGATGTTAGTAGGAATAAAAACAAACTTTTATCTTCATTGTCAACCTTGACAGAAATCAGTAAATATTGATAGATTTAAAACAGAAATGGATCATCAAATACATTTATCGCTTAAAAATAGAATTATTAAATTTGAGCAGATGTTTTCTAGTGAAGGAAGTGTTCACCTGTGAATTCAGTATCTAGTTGTCAAAAAATAGTGGAGGGAATTTTTGAACAGATGATACAATTTTTGATAATTGAGAAAGAATTAAGTCCTTCTAGGAAGAGAAATTAATTTCCTGAATTTTTCTCCTTTTCTTCAAATGAAGACTATATTTGTAACTATAATAACCTCTGTCTTGTAATAGTTGCTAAATTTACTGTATGAATTGTGTATACAAATGTACTATCATGGGATAGGATTTAGTCAGTTATGTGCCATGCATAATACATGCTTATGCGATCATGTATCGTTTGACACATGACTGACAAGGCAGATTTTTTTTTTCCCAAAGTAGGTTGCCATTTCTTTCTGCGGTAGACCAGTTGCCATCCAAGACTACAGAACCTGGTCTGTCCTGCTATTTACCCATAGCTGAGGGGAGAAGACAAGGATTCATACTTTTCCCAAGTAAGTGAATGTAATGGACCTGACTGGAATTTGAACTCAGCTGTCCAATTCCTCAATCCAAGCCGCTATCCGTTACTCCACCATGCCCCAGGGTTAGTATTTATTAAAATTAGACAATCAGAGGAGGAACAAAAGTTTAGATTACTCCAATCTACTTGCCTTGAAAATCAGCATTTGAATTCTTAGTGTTTATTGAAGATCTAGCATCATCTTCTAATCGTAATGGTGAGAATCGCCGTTTTAATACAGGAAACATTTAGCATTAGTTGATCAAAAAATTAGCCATATTACCTGTTGAAGTTAATAAAATGTTTCTTTTAAAACAGTATTTTCAGGAAAATCAGTTTCTTAAATCTGCTGTTAGTGTTGATGGGAGTTTCCTTCTCTGAGATACTCTCAACCAGAAGATGAGACAAACAGATGATGTTTTTTAATTAAACAACACCTGTACTTAATTAAAAGCTCTAAACTTACTTCTCTTTGGAGTTTCCTTTAGTGTTAGCAAAAAGAATATCCAAGGGTAAAAGTAATTTTTACTTGTTTAGCATTATTATTTTTAGTTTCACTATATTTTGTTGTTTTGTTTTTTAAATCTAGAATATACAACTGATATCTTTGGAAAGGTTCTATTTTATTTAGTGGGTGGTACTAGAATTTTGACTATACAACTGATATTATTTGGAAAGTGCAATTTAATAACTTTTTTGTGAGGAATAATGTTTTTTTATTCGAATCTTGACTATACAACTGATATCTTTTGGAAAGAGCTATTTTATAATTTTTCCTTTTTTGGATATGGCTAAAGAAATTTTGAATATACAACTGACATCTTTTGGAAAGTACCATATTTTTTTTTCAGGTTTGGGGGTTAAAGCAAACTTTATTATGCAACTGATGTCTTTTGTAAAGTGATATGTTATATATTTTTTTTATTTCCGTAAGTTTCAACACCAACAGAATAACAAGTTTCTACATGTACTATAAATTTAAGATCTAAAATTTTCTTCTCCAATGTATGTGAGTTAACCGAGGGAGGCAGTGAATTGAATTCATAAACATGAGGTTATTTGTCCAATACTTTAACCATGTTGCAACCTTATATTGTAAACTTCTCACATACAACTTAGAATGGACGGTAGGCTTTCTGCGATGTTATTTAATCAGTTGAACGTAATAGAACAAATACTTATCTGTTTCGTTTTTATTTTTTTCCTTCCATTCTTTGTAGAATCTGAGTTGATAAAAGAAACTAGAAGAGAAGTCTTCTTAGATGAAAAAAAAAAAGAAGTGTATTAAAAAAATAATGTTGTCTTTGTAATTTTGTATTCCATGTGTGGAACTGAGATTCCCCGAGTGTTTTCGTTAATTTATTTTGGTGAATAATGCCAAAGGAATTAGTAGCTCAGAAAATGGCTTCAGAGGATTCTTATGCATAAATGAGTGTGTATATATTTACACTTAGGCAGACATGAAGGCAAGAGTTTTTAAGCTTTATGTGCAGATAGATAATTCTGGGATTTTGGGGATTTTTTTCTTTTTTTTGCATGTCAAATTTATTATGCAGAAACTTGTATTTTAAATGTCTGCATATATTTAATATATAAGTGCATATCTACATCATATGATTTTGTGATATATTTGTTCCTTTGCTTAGTCTGTTTTAATAATATATATGACCACAAGGGCTTACAGCCACATCACATTGAAACACCATTTCCTGTATGATCACCAGAGTTAAGCAACATCAAGCTTGGTCAGTACCTAGATGGGTGACCACTTGGGAATACCATGTGCTGTAAACTTGGATGTGCTGGTTGTGTCTTGGATAATGGCTTCGAATGAGAAATCAAAGAGTCGACTTCCAATTCCAGTTGTTTTTTTTTATTCACTTGCAAATACTCTTGAGAAAGGTATGAATCCACTTCTTCTCCCCCAGCTATGGGTTAGTTAGTAAAACTTGTATCACTACTTCATTATTATCTCAAAAAAAAATTCTTAGAATCTAAAAATATTTTTGGGCTTTAAATAACCTGCAAAGAGTTAATAAGCTGTAGAAAATGAATATGACCACAAGAAGATGCTGAAAATCTTTCAATCAGACCCATTTCCCAAAAATATAATCAAATGACTAAACATCCAAAACTCTGTTTTTGTTTACTTCTTTTGATGGTCTTTGCAGCGTTCACCTTGACTTGCATATAAAACACTCACACACTAACAAATATTGTTTATATATTATTTATATTATATATATGTGTGTGTGTATATTTGTATATAAGAGAATCTATTTAAGAAAACGGAATTATCTCTTCAATAATAGATAAATGAAAGTAGATTTTAGCAATATATGGCATGTGTGAGTGCCTTTATAGTTTGAAATTATATGAAAGATGTAAGTTTTTATTACTTACTTTCACACACACCTTTCTTTTCCATTTAAAAAAATTTTTTACCCTTTTTCTTTTCTCATATCCCTGTTGAAATCCATTTAGAGATGGGAAAGATATTACATACTTGCTGGAATTTACATATCTCTGTTAAACTCTTTCCTTTTCAAAGAGACTGTTATGCTAATTCTATATATTTCTAGGTGCTGGAACATTATGGAATAAAGTTTGCTAATGTCATTTTTTTTTCTTCTCTAATGCAACATTATTCATCTTCATTTTTTTATATTCTCTTTTTCTTTTTTTTTCTTTCCCTCCAAAATTCTGTGATCAACTCCAGAATCAATTTGATTCCTTCAGTGATTCTGATCAAGATAGTCTAAGATCAATTTTCAATCTTGAAGTGAGTTTATTGCATGAGTTTTATTCATATGAAGCAGCAAATAGTATCCTTTTCTATTTCCTCCAGCCATTCTCCTGTCTTCAGATAGAATCAGGACATTCTATGAATAGCACCAGTATCAGAATTGGGTTTATTCTTCCTCATTTCTTTTGCTGTTATTTGATCCTCCTCCTTCTCTTCCTCCTCCTCCCCCTCATTCTTGTTGTTGCTAAGCATTAGTGACCATATCACACTTGTCCTCAGGTGTAGTCAGTTGGGTGTAATTATCGGTAGGTACCATAAATTAACTTAATGGTTGGTCAGTGTAGATGAGAGACAGCCCCAAAATATAATCTCCAGTGTGAAAAAGTGGCAGAAAGTTGAAATCAAATTGTCAAGAACAATGAAATTTGTTTAATTTACCTTACCAAAAATGTGTGTATGAAAGCAATAAGACAATGGTCTTTCTTTGTAGATATACACAAATGGCAATATGTTTATGTCTGAAGGTTTGATGGTGTGCATACATATGTATATATACATACATACATTATTTATATAAGATATTGCACATTGAGTGCTGATGTTAACATAATAGTGGTCAACGTAATATAACAAGAGATATTAATAAATATACAATTTTTCCTTACCGGTGAATAAAAACTGTATATTTATTAATATATACTTAATAAATTTATATATATATATATATATATATATATATATATATAAAGAATTAATCAGACATTTTTATTAATTAAAATTTTACCTTTAGAGGATACCTGCATCTGAAATAGACAGCCCATTTTTTATTTTTTTTTAAACAGTGTGTAACATTGTTTAAAATATTACATAAAAAACTGGGCATCTATTTCAAACACAGGTAAATAAATAAAAATAGGTTATCTGTTCCAAACATGTATCCACAAAAAATAATGTTTGACGTAATAACAATATAAAGTTTGCTATATTCATGGGGTAATAGTGGTGACTATTTGAAATAGAATGTTTGTAGATATCAACAATAGGAATCAATGCTTGGTCAGATGATTACCTTGAGACATGAAGCTAACACGCACAATAATGTTGATTTTTACGTTCACTCTTTCTGTCTGTTTGCCTCTTGCTCTCACTATATATATATATATATATATATATATATATAACTGGCATATTTTAGATACTTATATAAGAGCTATTTTTTTATAAGATCACTTGAGGTGTAAAGCTAACACACACCTTGTAATGTTATGTCCACTCTCTCCTTCTAATATATATATATGACTGCCATATCTTAGATACTTATATATGTGCTTTTTAATGTACATAAAAACAATTTATATTATTAACTGCCATTTAAAAAAAATGCTAAGGCTGTTAATAAGTACATAAATCATATTATTTTCTGTGTGTATATATATATATATATATATATATATATATATATATATATATATAGTGTGTGTATGTGTTGTTATGACAGCAATCCTCTTCAGGGAATTATAGACATATGAGTTTACTTAAGGGAATATTGTAGTATCATATTCAGTGTTCATTGCCTTGGTTCATGAAGGTATCCCTGTGGAAATTCTTTTTTTATGTCCAGTCGATTAGACCATTTTATAATATTGTCTGACACATCCTAGCAATACAACATAAAGAAGTAAAGAAAACACATTCACAGCTAGAGAGAGTGGTTTGTGCATTTATAAAATTAAATAGGTTTGATGTTTATATTTAGTACAGAAGTTTCCTTCTATAACCCTATCGGGATTAAATTTAAGTATAATATACTCAAACCCCAGAAGACACACTCCAAAGGTGGTAATGTAAACATAAGCCCTCAGTTTGATTTCCCCATTTGCATCGATGGGAACACAAACTGGCAAAGGTTACCCAGTGCATGTTCATCATGGAATATAAAGTGAAATATCACCATGACAGGGAAAGAAAAAAAAAGCAAATCCTTGTTTCATTAAACTGGGTTCTATATTCATGGAGTCACCTGGCATTGTTAGTGAGGAGAGTAGGTAAGTGACATTTGGGACATCTTTGCTGTTATTTCTCTCATGGCAGACTGATGGACCAGATCTGTTACTCGGCTAACTCCAATTACCTCACTGCCTATCTCTAACTACATCTCTAACACTGCCCCTCTCTAAATCTCAACAGACAGCTCATGACTGGTGACTCTCTGACTACTTGTCTCTAGAATATGGCTTGACTATATATGCTCATGGCTGGAATTTCCTGACTACCAGTTTAGTGTCACTTGATCCCCAAATGTTTTAGTAATTTAATTTGCGTTTTCCCTATTTGAGAACATTGATTGTTGCTTTGAAGCTTTCACATTGTGATTATATAGGCTTACAGCCATATCATGTTGAAACACCAGTTCTTGTACGATCGCCAAAGTTAAGCAGTTGATCCTGGTCAGTATCTAGATGGGTGGCCAATTGCAGAAAACCAGGTGCTGTAAGGTGTGGATGTGTTGGTGGTGTAATAGATAATGCCTCAGAATTGGAAATCGGAGAGCCAAGTTCCAATTCCAGTTTGGTACGTTATAGTCACTTATGTGCAAATACCCTTGGGAAAGGTATGAATCCATTTCTTCTCCCTCCAGATATGGGTTAATTAACATGACTTGTTTCACTAAATCATTATCTCAAAAAAATAATTCTTACAATCTAAAAATATTTTCTAGCTTTAAATAACCTGCAAAGGGTTGATAAGCCATAAAAAATGAATCAATCACTCAACATCTTGATTTTACTGTTAGTTGTCATAAAACAGCCAGTACTTCAAATCCAGATAAAATAATTCATAGTCGAATTGACAATGTTTGAAGTCAGTTGACATGGGATGTATTATGTCACAGTAGCACTTTTGAGGGAGAGGGCTACATGTCCCCGAGTAAGAATTGGTTTGAGTAATTTTTGTCCTTGATCCTATATACTTGTAGAATGCCTACTCGGAACTTGATCTTGTGCCATGTTCGTTTTGAGTGGGTCTGCAGAGAAGTATCTAAATATGTTTGTTAAAAGACAGTTATTCTTAATTTTCATGAAGATGAAAATAAAAAAAAAGTTTCCAAATGACTATTTTGCAATCTGTGTAAATATTATTGGCAATGTGAGATTGGGCTTTATTTGGGCTTCATTTATTTTTCATCATTAGTAGATATGTTGCTGGTCTAATGGTTAGTGGCACAGAATGAGAAATTGGTGAGCCAAGCTTACATTCATGTTGAATTTATTACATTCCCTTTCGCACAAATACCCTTGAGAAAAGTATGAATCCATCTCATCTATCTCAAGGTATGGATTAAATATCAGAGCAGACAAAGCTCTCTAGCCTTGGTTGGCAACCATTCTAGAAGGACAACTCTGAATTCAAAACAGTATGTAATCTTGCCATATTATACCTAATGAAAGGATTGTGGAGTTCACAATTTTGACTTTGCTCAATGAAATAGACATAGATTTATATTAAATGGCATGGATTGTCAATTCAAATGGGATCATTCATGGATTTGTGGGCATTAGGATAACTTGTAAGAGTAGTATGTAATTTAAAAGATATATTAAAAGCATTCTTTATGATGTTGGGAAAAAGAAAATAGCCTCTTAATCTGCACAACAAAATGATTTTTTTACCTTTTTATTTCTTTTTCTTATTCTAAAGAACTAAAGAAGAAAAATACTGTTTAAAGTATAAATAAAAAGTTTTACAAGGTAACCAAAAAAGTTCTGTCCGTTTTTTTGATTAGTCATTGAATGAAGTTGAAATATATACAAAATGCGTGTAGCAATTGTTTTCAAATTCGGACAGCCGGAAGTAGGAACATCAGACATTATAAAAAACACGTGCACTGTGCCCGGCCATAAGTTATAAGCCGGGCAGCTGTGAGAAGGATGGAAGTGTCTAGAGATCTCGTTCAGAGCTGTTTGCTTTACGACTTCAAAGTAGGCTTATCAGCAGCTGCATCAAGTCGCTGCATATGTCAAGCATTTGGGGATAGTGCTGTGGA